GAATGGGTTTTATCAAAAGGATAAAATATAACTGTTGGCAAGGATGTGGAAAGGGGAACACCTGTACACAAATGGTGAGAAGACTGTGTGAAGATCCCTCAATAAATGATTATCATATAACCCAGCAATTTTCTGGTATTTCCCAAAAGATTTGAAACCAATTGGTTGAAAAATTATCTCTACTCCCAGGTTCACTGCAGCACTGTCCACAATAGCCAAGTCATGGAATCCACCTGTCCATCAACAGATGAATGGATACTCACTACAAACAGAAATGCTAAGTATTTGAGGAATGGATGTATTAAATAGATGGTTTAATTATCATTCATTGTATTCATAAATCATTACATCACTGTGCACCTCATAAAAGCATACAATTATAAATTGTTAATTTTTTAAAAGACTTTATTTACTTATTTATTTGAAAGGCAGAGACAGAGAGAAGTCTTCCATTCGCTGGTCCGTTCTCCAAACAGCCAAAATGGCTGGAGACAGGCCAATTGGAAGCCAGGAGCCAGGAGCTTCTTCCAGGCCTCCCATGCAGGTACAGGGACCTAAGGACTTGGGCCATCTTCCCCTGCTTTTCCAGGCCATAGCAGAGGGCGGATTGGAAGTGGAGCAACCAGGACTCGAAACGATACCCACGTGGGATGCCAGCACTGCAGGCTGCTGCTGTTGTGGATGCTTCTGAGAGGAGCAGCACGGTGGGGGCAAGAGGCACAGAGTCACCACACAGACCCCAGGAGCCGGGTGAAAACAGGCCAGAGGCGAACAGCCTGCAGACTCGTTTATTTCAGTTGGTACAGCAGCTTATATAGCCGAGGCAACCAATCTGGTCAAGGGGCGGTTTATGCCCTAACCAATCACAGCCTGTTGCCAGGCAGGCTCCATTGCCATGTGGTTTCTGAAGCCATCAAATCAGCCTGTTGCCAGGCAGGCTCCGCTGCCAGTGGCCATCTTGGCATAGCCTTCTCATTCCACCACAGGTGGTGACTTTACCCACTATGCCACAATGCCAAATTGTTGATTTATAAATAAAATAGGTATAAATAGATAAAAATGAGAATGGATTAGCTTAAAATCAGAAAAAAGAAACTTCCTTGTTGTGGTGTAGCAGGTAAAGCTGCCACCTGCAGTGTCAGCATCCCATATGGGCACCGGTTTGAGTCCTGGCTGCTCCAATTCCAATACAGCTCTCTGCTATGGCCTGGGAAAGCAGTAGAAGATGGCCCAAGTGCTTCGGCCCCTGTACCCATGTGGGAGACCCAGAAGAAGCTCCTGGCTCATGGCTTTGGATCAGTTCAGCTCTAGCCACCATTGTGATCATTTGGGGAGTGAACCAATGGATGGTTCTCTATCTCTCTGGCTTTACCTCTCTGTGTAACACTGCCTTTCAAATAAATAAAGCAAATCTTTTTTTTAAAAAAAAGTACTTGCTAATATTTGTGATGTTAAAAAAAAAACTCCTAGTAGAAGTTATCTTTGGAATATGTGATGTAAGAGATAGATGTCTTTTCCCCCCTTTCTAATTTTATGCTCTTTTTTATGATGAATATGTATTACTTTCATATTAGAAAATGCATTTTATATAAAGAAAAATTGGAAAATTCCACTCACTCCCAAGACCCTTACCCATTAAGACTTACCAAGTCCCCCTATTAAACTGATCTCTCTCCTTTATATTTCATTATCATAGTTTACCTTGTGTTATCCTATCTGTCCATATTTGTCTAGCATTTTTCTCCCAGGCAGTTATGAATGTGTGCCTTGTGATAGCAGTATTATAGCAGGTTTAGCATTGCAGAAAATGACATGACTGTTCTCTCATGTTAGCATGATAACAGCTACACACAGGCCAGGCTTCTACTTCCTGCAGGTGTTGTGAGTCTTAATACCTGCCTCCCAGTGACTAACTCAGTGTATTCACTGGACTGAAGAAAATTCCTCTTCCCATTGTAAATTTGTTTTCCAGTGAATCAAGGGTGGGCTCAGTGTAGCTGGTGTGGGATTTCAGGGATACCAGTGAGCCCTTCTCCTCTCTCCTGCACGGTCTTTGGATTGTCCCCGGCACCAACAGACGGGTTTTCTGGATTAGAGCATTCCTACCCTCTGGAGCCACAGTGCACCCCCTGGCACAGCAGAACACATCCTAGGAGACTTCCCTAAGGGCCATCAGTGGAAATCAAGGCCACAGGGAGGAACAGGGAGCTGGGGTTAGGATGGAGTCCCCAGGTCCCAGTGCATCTCCCTATTGTGCTCGTGCTCCGGAGGCCAGGAGCCAGTGTGGGTTCAGCACATTGCTGAAACATCCTCTAAGAACAGTCTCTGGCCGGCGCCACGGCTCACTAGGCTAATTCTCCGCCTTGCGGCGCCGGCACCCCGGGTTCTAGTCCTGGTCGGGGCACCGGATTCTGTCCCGGTTGCCCCTCTTCCAGGCCAGCTCTCTGCTGTGGCCAGGGAGTGCAGTGGAGGATGGCCCAAGTGCTTGGGCCCTGCACCCCATGGGAGACCAGGAGAAGTACCTGGCTCCTGCCATCCGATCAGCGCAGTGCGCCGGCCGTGGCGGCCATTGGAGGGTGAACCAACGGCAAAGGAAGACCTTTCTCTCTTTCTCTCTCTCTCTCTCACTGTCCACTCTGCCTGTCAAAAAAAATATTATAAAAAAAAAAAAAAAAACAGTCTCAGACTCTGAGAGATGGGCTGTAATGGACAAGACTATTGGTGGTAGCCATGGGGGCGGGGGTGCGTGGGGGTACCTCTCTCATTGGCCTTTCCTTTTCTGGCTTGCTGCTTCTCCCAGTTGGCCAAGGAGCCAGGACCCCATCCTTCCCTTCTCCATCCCTAATACCCACACGTTAAGAGTGAAGCAGACACTGGAGTGGGCGACTGCAGGAGTCCTCCTTCAGACCCCGGATGGAGGGGCCCAGGCTGCCCAGCTCGCCAGCATGAAGAGCCTTACAGAGGCAGAGGACACTGCAAAGTCAGCAAAGCACAAATCTCAGTTCTCAAGGTAACTGCAATCCACGTTTCTGTAAGTTGTGCTTTGAGCAACCCTTCTGCTGGGACCCGGCTAGAAACTCAGCCTGTCTGAGAGTAGGATACCTCTGAACCCCGGTGAGTTTACAAGGCCAGGGCATGGGTGCAGGGTTGAGGAGATGGTCTTCAGTGTTCTCTGGCCACTCAGTACCTGAGTAGGGTGTCCCTTGTTCATGAGCCCATCAGGAAGGGGGTGCCTAGGGTCCCATCAGCCTGGACTGCAGGTCACAGGAAGCCTCAGCGTCTGAGGACTTGCAGTTGAGCCAGAGCTCGGGCTGGGAAGCAGGCACCAGGCTCTAGGCAGACACAATGTCCGGCCTTTTGTAGGCGGGGAGTTACGAAGGCAGGGAGTGAGTGGGGAGGGAATTATATTAGCTTGCTAGGACAGTAAACGGCAAAGCGTTGCAGACTACACGGCTTAAACAACAGAAACTCATTCTCTCGTGCTTCTGGGATTAAGATGTTGGACGGGTTTGGTTTTTTCTGAGTGCTATTAAGAGTCTGTTCCAGGCCTTGCCCTAGCTTCTGGTGGTTTGCTGGCAATCCTTTGGCATTCCTGGGCTTCCTGAGGCATCACCCAGATCCCAGCCTTCATCTTCCCATGTTCTCCCTTTGTGTGTCTGTTCCCAAGTTTCCTGTTTTTGTAAGGACAACAGTCATATTGGATTAGGATTACTATGAACTCTTCTTAACTAGTTATTTCTGCAGTGACCTCATTTCCAAATAAGGTCCCAACGTGTGGTACGAGGGGTTAGGAAACATCCAGCCCATAACCCGGAGGATGAGCAATCTATGAAGAAAAAGAATCAGTCTCTATCCCCTAACTCCTGCTCCTCTTCAAGAGTTTTACCCCAACATTTCATCTCTTGCTGTGGGCCATCACTCAAGGATTTGGGGGTTTCAGAAACCAAAGCAACCTCTTTCCTTTCCTTCTGCTTCCTGCCCTATTGCATCCCTTCCCTGAGGCACTGGGTGAGCAATCACTTAGTTATTTGAATCCAGCAAGAGCAAAAGGAAGAGAAAGCAATAAACCAGTCAATAGTTAAAAGTCACTCTCCTTTCCAGCAGTACTGAAGAGGAGGCTGTATTAGTCAGCCATTCGTCACTACAGGGAAATCCCTAATCCAAGAAACTCATGAAGGAAGGTTTGTTTTGGCAAATGGTTTTGGAGGTTTGTGGTCTGAGAATGGGTGGGCCCCTCTGGTGTGGCCATCTCATGGGACTGGCCATGGCAGGGCATGTATGGGGGAATAGTCACTTGGTGAACTAGGAAGCAGAGGGAGAGGCTAGATCTGACACAGGATTTTATAAGCAACTCTCTCCCAAGAACTACCTCCCAAGGGCAAGCTGCCAGTGACCTAAGGACCTCCCACTAGGCTCACCCCAAACGTTTTCACCCTTCTTAGTATAATTAACAAAGAATTTTTGGATTTAAACTTGAAATATCTGCGTGGCTCCCCGAGCCATGACCTATCCAAACCATAGCAGAAGGCTAAGGCCAGAGAGCTAGTGGAGGAGGATAGGGGAGGTGGGATTCAGGATTCCAACTGTGCTTCTTCCTATGCAAGCACTGACAATCATTAGTCTTAAGAAAGAAGAGAAGGGGCCGGCGCTGTGGCGCAGTGGGTTAACACCCTGGCCAGAAGCACTGGCATCCCATTTGGGTGCTGGTTCTAGTCCCAGCTGCTCCACTTCCGATCCAGCTCTCTGCTATGGCCCGGGAAAGCAGAAGATGACCCAAGTCCTTGGGCCCCTACACCCATGTGGGAGACCCAAAAGAAGCTCCTGGCTCCTGGCTTCGGATGGGCCCAGCTCTGGCCGTTGTGGCCATCTGGGGAGTGATCCAGCGGATGGAAGACCTCTCTTTCTGGCTCTATCTCTCTCTGGAACTCTGTCTTTCAAATAAATAAAAATAAATCTTAAAAAAAAAAAAAAAAAAGAAAAAAGAAAGAGGAAACAGCATGTTAAAAAAACACATTTATTTTAAAATTGTACATAATCTTTGGGTAATTCAGAATTAGCTTAGGCATGTTTCAGAAGTTTCGGAGATCAATGTCTCAACTCCAAACCAAAAGCAATAGCTTATTTGATCGGTAGAAGGATCGGACAGAACCTCATGACACAGGATGAACAGGTGACTGCTGAAGAAGACAGAATCTGTAGAGAGAAGCTTTCCTGCAGCAGCAGTAATAATCTTAAAATCATCTGTCACATAGATCAAACAACTCACCAGACCAACAATAATACCCATATCTTATGTGCATTTTATTAAAGTTTCCACATCTAGAGAGCACAGAACTGTAAGCCCTGTAGACTTCAGAATCATACTTAAATTAATTTGATCCCTTATATTAATAATAACAATTAACAACTAGATTCTACCCAGTGTAGTCTCAGTCTCCACACCAACATATCTCCTGCTGATGGGCTCCCCACCCCCCATTGGCACTCAGTGGTCATGATTCCCGGTCACCACGAGTCGCATCAGAACATGAAGCAAGCCAGGAATCTATGGGCCCAGAGAAGGGTCCAAGGCTTCTCCCAAACAGCAGGTAAGCAACCCAGATGCCCCACCCATTCCTATATGGAATCAGACCTGGGCTGCAGGCAGTGAGGAAGAGGCTCGTGGTCAACCGCCTCAAAGGGTTCCATGGGCATTCCTGGGGGTAGCTGTTGTCTCCCAGTAGGGAAGTCACTGTTCTGAGGACAGGGCCCCCACTTCTATCCCCATCCTCTCCTCCCGCACAGGGGGGTCCAGCCCAGGTGTATGCACAGAGTAAGTCCTTCATAAAGAAAGGAAGGAAACCAGTAAGTACTGAACACCAGTCCTGAGCCAGGACAGGTGCTTTGATGCACTCCTCACAACAGCCCTGTGAGGTAGGATCATCACCCCATTTTATAGACATAGAAACAGAGGCTCAGGGAACAGGATTTTCCCAAAATGGCACATCTGGTAAGTAGAGGTGCATCAAATTGAAAACTTGGGACTTCCCATTCCAGTGCTTTTTCTGTTACCCATGTAAGCCAAGGGTTTAGCAGCACACGAGTAACCCAGGTGCAAGATGGTTGGTTCGAAGCTTAAATACCAGAGTCCCTTGAGCATGTGGGGCCGGCCTTGGGAATCCAGACAGGGGACTCTTGGGACTTGCTCTACTCTTGGCCTTGAGCAAGCTGTTTAATCTCTGCACCAGGGCCCTGACAGCTCCACTGTGGGTTCCCAAAAAGGGGCGAGGGCTTAGCAAACTCACTGAGGACCAAGTCTGCCAGTCCTAGCGGGCTGGCCTCTGCTGGGGGATTCTGATGTCGCTTCCTTTGCAGGGTGGGTGGAGGACATAGCAGTGACACCACACACCTCCCACCTTGTGAGGACCAGCCAGAGAGCCACTCCAAACCCTTTGTTCACAAGCACCCAGGCTAGGGACCAACCCAACCAGCTGGAGTGATAGGACCGTGTGCCACAGGCAGGGACCCTGGCAGCAACTTTGCTCTGGAGGAACCGAACGTGTTTCTCATGCCCTGTACCAATGGCTTGTCCCCCCAGAGCCAGATCACCTCGTACAACCATCATTTCTGAGAGCTCTTGAAACACGAAATCAATATCCAGGTGCTGATTTCTGGCCACACAGAGTGCTGGTTTGTGAGAATGACATCATTCAGTTGGGCAAAACCTTGGCTAAGCCGTGGCAGTCCTGGTAGAAAAGTTGGGTCTGGCGTCTACCCACGTGGAAGGAGGGCAGGCTGCTATCTGGAGACGATGCTGGCTCATCCGTGTGACAGGAGGTGGGTGGGGCTCCACACTCTCTGTGCCTGCAGGGATGGCCAGAGCTGGTTCCTTCCCCCAGGCTCCCGAAGCCCCCAAGCTCTTGCTCACAGAAAGCCACAGAATGCAAGGAGCAGGCTGGGAGAGTTCGGGAAAACGGTCATCAGAGGCTGGGGTGGCCATGAAACCAGTCATACGATGCCTGACGGAGGAGAGGGAGGAGGCCTGGCCCCCTGCCCCACTCAGCAGTGGATACCCCGGAAGCCACGCAGGGTGGCTTTCCCATACAGGTAAATGTCCTCGTCCGTGCCCTCGTTGAGATGCTTTACCAAGTTCTTCTCAAAGAGGAGCGGGTGGTAGGCACCCATGGTGCAGGCGCTGTCGAAGAACTTCTGGTAGTAATAGCACACGTCAGTCCTGCGCTTGGACGGGAGGAACTCGTAAATATCCACCTGGTCACACAGCGTCAGCATGATGAAGATGCCTGCAGGGGGGACACGGGACAGGCATGCCCAGCATGATGAAGATGTCTCAAGAGGGGGACAGAGGGGATGCACACCCGACAGTCCCCCACCCAGGGTCTCAGAGCTCTGGCCAGTGGGTGCAGCAACTCGGACCCCACCCTTGCAGATCTGTCCACTGGAGTTTCCATTTACTCCTGTGATCCCCAGGCTGATTTCTTCCGGGCAGCCCAAAAGACTGTCCTTTGGGATGTAGGGGTTTTATGCACCGTAGTATCCCTGGGACCCAGACCAGAGCCTGGCCTATGAAAGGCCCTCCCTGAACCCTAGCAGATCTCATGGCTCCACCAATTAGTCAATAAGTTTATCAGTGGAATCAGCTCTATGAAGAAAGAGGACCAGGTGCCCAAGTCAGCTAAGGAGACAATACTATGTGAAGTAGTTAGCATTTTCTATGCAGCTGCATCCAGGAGGAGCCTCTCCAATGATGTTACTGGGAGAAAGGCTGGGAGCCATCCAGTCCTTGCAGGAAATCTTGTGTGGGCAGGAAGACTTTTCTTCCCCTAGCTAAGAGGGACAACTGGACCAGGAGCAGCCTCTGGTCTCTACTGATGGACTCTGCTCATTCTGACAGGGAGACTGGAGTGGAATGGAAGTTGCCCTCCAGAGAGGCTATGCGGTATATGGAGACACAAGCCCAAAGAAGAGGCAGGAGACTCATGCCACTACCTAAGCTAGGCCCCAACTCACCGAGTCCTCTTGTTTGGGGCATAAGGCTTCTATGAGCCTGAGCCTCTTAGCTGCCCCAAACGACCTATGGCATAGTCCATTCTTAGGATAAAATAACATCACAGTCCTAAGATTCCTTTTGTCAACTATAAATATGAGGAATATTTAAAAAGTTCATGGAGAATATGTATTATGAAAACCTGTGTGGATTTCAAGATTTTTTTGGTATCAAAAATAAACTTGTCTTCTAATTCCATGTTTCTAGCAACTTTTTGAAGCACCCTCATAAAGGAAATCTTGGCGATGGGGCAGTTCTCACTGAGAGCAAAACTGTAAACTGCTGGCGTCAACTGTGTTCCAGGCATGAGAAAAGCCTTCTGGCTACCCCTAGTTACGAGGGAGCAAAGTCGGCTCTGCCAATCACTGATGTAAACACAGCCGACGTGGTCCTAGGAATTATGGGAGAGGACACTTCCCACGACAGAAGACTCAAGTAAACCTCAAGGAAGCATAGGGGCGGAAGGGGCCATGGACATGAGAGATGGGGCAGAGGGGAGGACTGATGACAGGGGTGACAGAATGGCAAAGGCAGGTGTGTTCCTCGGAGGCCACCTATGCCTGCTCCAATGGGCTCCAGGAAGAGCCCCAAGTGCGCCCGCCTGGAAGGTAAAGAAGGTGTGAAGAAGATGTGATGTCCTAACAGCCCCAACCTCTGTAAGGAGCACCTGTTAGGTCAACATTTATTTATTCGTTGACTCAGGGAACATTTGCCAAAGGGCTATTCCCTGCCCAATCCACCAAGGTAAGTCAAACAGAATCCTGGCCCTGAAGGAGCGGTAGTTTAGTGTGGGAGGTAAGCAGACAAGTGACGCACTGGAGAGTGGCTGGGGCCATCCAGTGGGGAGCAGGTCTCTGGGGTGCGCCAGAGAAAGCAGCATCCATCGCTGGGCACACGGAGCCTGGAGCAATAGGAAAACTGCCCAGTGGCCCAGCCGGGCTCACAGAGAAAGGCGGGGAAGGGCACGTGGACCAGGAGATGCAGGAAAGTCTGAGATGAGAGTCACTGGCCAGCGTTCAGGACCCTCCACTCTCTGCCTGCAGCCCATCGCAAGTCAGCTCCTGCAGCCCACCCATACCCCCTCCCCCACACCAGCCGAGCTTCAGGCTCATTGCCCTCTCAGGGCCAGGACTAATAAAGACGGCAGCCATATTACTGGTTGTTCCTTTGCCTCAGGTTCCATATGGCTGCACAACCCTGTTAGAGATCTTGCCTTTATTGAAACACTTGCTGTTCAAATCTTAATTAACTGTGATTTTTAAAGGTGTTATATTAGAATATGCCCCTGGATCACTGAGTTTTGGGCACCTCGTTAAACTGCACACCTGAAACATGAGCCCTGCTTGCCTTACCCAGAACCCAGCCCTGCTGCTCCCTCGTCCTGCCTCCCCCTCCTGACTATGGGGTCCCCCGTACCCCATCCCCCATCCCCACCTGCATGGCCTCCCCTCTCTGAGGCCTACTCCTAAGTTACTTCCTCTACGAACCTATCTCTGCCTGCCCAGCATAGGGCTCTCTCCCATGGCACGGGGTGGGCTCTCCCTCCCGGCACAAACAGAATCGGGGTGGATGGAACTCCCCTATGGAGACACCAGGAAGGGGGAGAATCACGCCTCATTTGTCTCAGTATTTTAGACAGAACCTGGCACAGCCATGGGCAGAGCACGGTCCTGGCAGCCGTCTGGTGAACTAGGAATGGATGAATGAAACCCCAGAAGAGAGCCGCGCGCTGCTGGAGCCACACCCGCGTGGTCGTCCCGAGACACGGACTCACCAAGCATGCCGGAAGATGGCGGGTTTGGCTGGATCTCTTCCGGGGAGATTTCTTGGAGGATGTCCCACAGTTCCCAAGGCATCTGGGGCTTGAGGATGTAAAAGGGCTGATTGGGGTGCAGCTTGCGGTAGCTCTTGTAGTTACTGAAGAAATTGTAGTCGGGATTCTGGTACCACTGAAAGAAAACAAGGACGCGGTTTCCCTGAGGGGAGAGACGCCCCCGGGGCTCGCGCATGCTCAGCAGAGGACTTGGAAGACAGGCAGGAGCCGGAGGCACAGCCCTTTCCCGGGAGCAGAGTCCAGACGTCCCCTCGCATCACAGCTCTCGCTGACCGGCAGACAGAGGCCGGCACGTGGCCTGTGCGTTTAGGGACTGTGGAGCCGAGGGACCAGGGACAGCTTCGGAACTCAGAGTGGCAGCGCCCGGGAGTGGCATCAGAGCTGAAAGGGGCCCTACACACCTGCACGCCCATCGTGCGTATTTGTAGGGGAAAACTGGAGCGAGGCTGCCCTATCTCTGGCTTCAGGGTCCTCTTGATACTTTGAGACCTAAGCGAGATCAGGGCCAACTGCAGAGGTCGGGAGCGTGCCAGTGGTGTCACCAGGCCGCCTCTCAGCTACCGGTGGATCCAGCTGAAGAATTAAATGTCCTTCCTTAAGCCTTTGGCCCAAATGGCCACCGCAGCCTACATCAGGGACAGGCCAACTGACAGGCCTAACTGTGTGCACTGTCCCAGAGACACAGAACAAGCGAGCCTTTCCCTGAAACACCTGGTGCCATCTGGGCCCTCTGCTTCGTAATTCAAGTCCCAGGACAGGGAGCGTCCCCTCGTCACACGCCAGTTTCTCCATCTGTAAAATGGGAGCAACTGTGCTTCCATTTGCGTCCTCCCATCATGAGTTGAGTGAAATGAGAAGAATTCTGGAAACTGGAAGTATGGGACCAAAGTGAGCTAGTGTTATTTATAGGAAGAGCTACCACTGCCCGTTCTTGCTCACTGGGAATAGCTGCATCTGTGAACACACTCACCAGAGGGTGACAAGCCCAGCCACCACAACTCCCGGTGTACAGCGGAATTGCAAGGCAAATGCAGGGCAGGGCACAGACAGCAGCTATTACGGGACAGGAGTGCATCTGTGTCTGCTGAGCCAGATGAAAGGGGGGGCCCTAAAACTCAAAGAGCCAGTCCTCAAAACTAGCCCAGTTCACCCTGACTTTCAAAGCCTAGGAGCTCAGGAAAATCCAGAAGCAACTGGAAGACACCCACTTACCTTGGGGATATCTGCGTGGTAGACAGAGGGGTCCCACACAATCAGGATTCCTTCATTGTACAAACTGTCCTTGAGGAAGCGCCCTTCTGTGGTGACCAGCTGCAGGGACAGAGAGACAGGCTGTCACTCACACATCTACACGGAAGCATGTAGCTCACCATGGTAACTGACACATCACATAGTGCAGGGCTTAACATCAGAGAGAAACTCCCAAACATGCCAGCCTGCATCGTGTTGCCCTGAAAGGACATTTATCGCAAGCCCTCGGCTGTGGGGCAGAAGGGGTCCTACGCAGACTTTGAGGTGACTGGGGTAAAAATGGCAAAGGTGGCAGGATATCTTAGACCCATGGAGTCAGGCCTTGTGACTGGTGGATGGGGCAGAGGAGTGGGGTTGATGGCAGAATCCCATATAATCACAATGGTCTCTGGAAATGCCTTCAAACACCTACAACGTCCTGCTCACAGTATGTTCTCATCATAATGGAGACCAACATAGTATCTCTCGCTGAGTTCAGGCCTCATCAGACAGACGGCTGGGTCTTGGCTGAGCATTAGCTGCCTGCACAAAATTATGCATCGCTGAACGTGAGACCCTCACCAGGCTGCTAAGAGTCATGTGCACATGGCTTCCACATGGCTGTGACAACTCTGCGGGCACAAATTTGCAAAATTTATCATGAGCTTTTTAAAAAGGTGTATTTATATTCTTTGACTCAATAATCCCATCTGGGGGTCTACCCTAGGAAAGAATTCAAATTCAGGGGGAAAACTACCCACAGAAATGTTGCACAAACTATGTTGATCACATTACTCCTCAAAACAAGGAAGGTTTTTGGTAGCAGAATGGGAAAGCTGCTGGAATTGAGCTGAACTCTCAGCTTCGTTGCTAACCTATCCTATGACTGTGAGGCCTTCATTTTCTTGTCTGTGAAATGGGGATAATGGCACTCGCTCTGCTCTCTCCAACTGGAGCTGCCTTCCAGATCAAACAGGGACCACGAGTGAATGAGGAAGACAAAAAAGTGACCCCTTAAGGCTTAGCAAGAAGAAGGGAGCCATGTGCCTCTTGGAAAGTCAAAAGTGGCCCACAAGGTCAGCAGGCCAGGCATTCACCTTAAAAACAAAGTGGGAGATGATGTTGCCCAGACACAACCAACAGGAGCAGACGTCAGAAACCAGGTCGAGAATCAGTTGAAAATGAAAGCAAGATGATCTCTCCCACCCCAACCGCCATCACTGAGGCTGAGACCCAGCCCCCACCACGGCTGCGTCTGAACACAGCCACGGACAGGGGCTGGCTTGTGTGGGCCTCTAAGCCCTTGGAGCCGGCCCAGCCCCAGCTACAGCTGGAAGATGTCCTCAGGAGCCTGAGAGAGAGAACTTCACTTCCTCAGAATATCTCTGCGACAAGACTCGTGGACGGTGGGCTACCTTTGCCAGGGACTGGGCAGAGGTAACACACAGTCCCTGCCTAGAGGCTCAGGCCGGTGGGGAAGGTGGGCAACCGAGCAAGGACTAACACAGCCGTGGTGTGACAGCAGAGGCAGGGTGAGGCTAGCAGGGGCTGAGTGCAAGCCAAGCAGAACACACCGGGCCAGGAGAGCAGAGAGGGCGATGTCGCAGAGCCAGCGCGAAGCCGCAGACAGGAGAGCGAGAGGCACAGCCTGCAGGGTCCCCAGTGTCCTTTCTCTCTGTCTTCCTTTCTAACGAACACTCCTGATGGTTACCTCAACTCACGGCTACCTGAAATAAAAACTCCCAGCCTCTCTTGCAGGATCCGCGGTTTTGCTGCCTTCAGAAATTCCCAGACTGGCCAGCGCTGTGGCACAGTGGGTGAAAGCTGCCATCTGCAGCGCTGGCATCTCATATGGCGCTGGTTCGAGTCCCAGCTGCTCCGCTTCCTATCCACCTCCTTGCTAATGTGCCTGGGAAAGCAGCAGAGGATGACCCAAGTCCCCGGGCCCCTGCACTCATGTGGGAGACCTGGAAGAAGCTCCTGGCACTTGGCTTCAGATCAGCTTAGTTCCAGCCATTGAGGCCATTTCAGGAGTGAACCAGTGGATGGAAGACCTCTCTCTCTCTCTCTCTCACTCTGTCTCTAAATCTCTTTGTAACTGTCTTTCAAATAAATAAAATAAATCTTATAAAGAAATTCCCAGAGATACACCCAACAAATGAGCTACCATTTGATGATGCTTACTACATCAGGGTGCTTCCCCCATATTATTATTATCTCAGTTCATCTGCCTAGCAGCGCCATGAGGGAAGAACTAATATTCCCATTCTACAGAAAGAACCCGGACTTAGATGCTAAGGACATGCCCAAGTCCCACAGTCACATCCAAATCACATCGCCGCTAAGCACAGAAGTCAGCTTCAAACCTGCGCCCTACGCTGCCTCGCACAGCACCAGGGGCAGCCAGAGTCCTCGGAAGGGGGTGTCAAACACAGCATGGGACAGAGGACCTGGGAGGGTCCTGAGCCGGTCACATCTGGAAGAGCCCAGAGGAACTGATCCCAAACCCATCCTTTAGGGGTAAAGTGAGACCTGAGGAGAAGAAAGAGTTCTCTGAGGCTACAAGGTGCATCTGGCGGGGACCAAAGCCCAGACGTGGGCTCCTACCAGAGGCTTCGCTCTGCTCCAGTGGGGCTACCATAAAACGGCAGATATTTAAATGTAGTATAGTAGATTAAGCCGCCACCTGCCATGCCAGTGCCCCATATAAATACTGGTTGAAGTTCCAGCTGTTCCGCTTCTTATCTGGCCCCGCGCTAATGCACCTAGGAAAGCAGTGGAAGATGGCTCAAGTGCCTAGGCCCCTGCCACCCATGTGGGAGACCCAGATGGAATTCCAGGTTCCTGCTTCGGCCTGGCCCAGTCATGGCTATCGTGGCCTTTTGGGGAAGTGAACCAGCTCTCTCATTCTGTCTGTCTCTTTCAAATAAATCTTTAAAACACATATTAATCAATAAATATGCCAGCCTCATGAGGAAGGGGCAGGGGTCTCCCTTAGTCCTTCTTTACATTTGGAAACGACATCCACCTGAGCCAGCTGAGACGCAGGAAAAAGCGCTCCATACAGCTGGAAAGAGGTGCAGAGAAATGGTCGTTTCTTCCAGAGAAGAGAGATAGAATGGCCAGGGCTCGGATCTGGTAGAGGAAAAGGAAAAGCCAGCAAGCTCCATCCCCAGCCAGAAATGGACGGGACTCTGAATCGATCCATGTCCACTCCTCTATGTGGATTCGCAGGTTGCCTTGAGGCTACATGGGCAGCTGAGAGCAGGATCCCAGCCCTGTGCTGCATCTGCCAGTCCCATCTACAGCCCTCAGGTGCTCTGCTTACCAAGCCTGTCACCCAGTGAGTCCTGCCCAAGGGACCAGTCCTGCCTGGAAGAATAGAGCCCTCATAAAAGAGCCCCATGCCCCCAGCTGCTGTTCCTTTATCCAAGTGGACAGGACACAGCAGAGAGGCCCCTGTTTGGCACTGTACTTTTACAGACTTTGTGAAGCAGGGGACAGGCTCGGGGGAGGGAGGGCTCTTTTCTCCTCAATTTACCCAGAGCTCTTGGGGGAAAGAAGGTGTCATATTCTGCCTCTCCTTCCCCGAACCAGGCAAGGGTTAGGAGGGAGCACATCTGCTTGCCTGGATGGAAGCTGGGGTGGCAGGTAGCACCCCCAGATGGTCAGGCAACACCAGAAAAGAAGATCCAGGGCAGCTTGGACACATTACAAGCCACCGCACGTAGCAGGGCACTCCGGACAAAGAAGGCAGGCTGAGTCTAACACCACGTGAAGCCCTTTTCAGATTCTGAACACTATCAGTGACTTACAATGGGTCTGGGCCAAAATCAAGAAGTCTCAGAGGGGGCCGGCACTGTAGCATAGCCAGTAAAGCTGCCTTCCTGCAGTGCCGGCATCCCATATGGGCGCCGGTTCAAGTCCCGGCTGCTCCACTTCTGATCCAGCTCTCTGCTATGGCAGAGGAAAGCAGTAGAAGATGGCCCAAGTCCTTGGGCCCCTGCACCCACGTGGGAGACCCGGAAGAAGCTCCTGGCTCCTGGCTTCGAATTGGCCCAGCTCTGGCCATTGCGGCCATTTAGGGAGTGAACTAACAGATGGAAGACCTCTCTCTCTGTGTGTGTCTCTGCCTCTGCCTCTCTGTAACTCTGCCTTTCAAATTAAAAAAAAAAAAAAAAGTCCCTGAGCCCATATCCTGGACTCAAAACTGTATCATCAGGATTCCATCAAATCACCCAACTCATCCAATCAGTTCTTATGCCTATTGTTACTGGAAATTCCCCACCCTTACCACCCCTGCCAATACTCACCCAGGTACCTATACACCAGTCTCTTGAGAAGAAAAACTTTAGCTTCCAGAAACCTTTTGGCGGGGGTGGGGTGGGGGGTGGGGTGAAAGTGTGGGTGGCAAGCAGCCCTAGAGACCGGTGCCACCTTCTGTCCCTTACTTCCTGGGCTACTCTGTATGAGTCTCACAAACTCTTTGAGTCTAAGCGTCTCCAAGTCAGGTGCTTGGGGCCACCCTTCACACGGGTGTCACGAAGATGAAACAAGAGAGATGCCCTCGAAAGTGCAGCCATGCACACACACACACACCCCATTAGCCTAGGTATGCAGTGGTGCAGTCTACGGTGTTTACCCACGGGCAAAATCATTGTGCATTCTGAACAATGCACTTCACAGAATGTGCCCTCATCAGTAAGCAATGCATGAGTGTATAAGTGCAGTAAAAAGGGGACCAGCTATTTTTCAGGATAAGCCCCATTAAGTAATGTGGAAATGACCTAGCTGAAGCCCAGGCAGGATGCCCTGTCACTAGGCAAACAAGGCTAGGCGCCCTGTCACTAAGCAAAAGTTCTCTCTCTCCAGTTCTTACAAAGCTTCTAAGGAAGCCGCTGGATCTTCTTGTTTCATTGTGTTCCCTCTGAGGCCCACCGAGCACAGCAGGTGCTCAGTTGAGTCAAAATTCGATTTATTTAAAGACCCGCATTTGAATTGCTTTCCTGTTGAATCTCAGAACCACACCTGACACAGGGGACCTGAATAGGTCTGCTGAGCTGAAACCTCGGTATGACACA